ATACACCGTGGTGGGAAAAAACCTAGGCGCGGCGGGGAGCGCGGCGCGGGCGGAGAGCGCGGCAGCGAGCGCGAGCGACGGGCGACCCGAAACATAAACATAGTATCTCGCGCGTCGCTCCACCTGCCGCTCATCGATCGATTTTCTTAAATGCCTTCCGAGTCCGGCCTACCGTCTCCTGCATCCTCATTCGCTCAGACGTGTAAATTAATTACTCGATAACTATTGTTACTTTTGTACCGCGGCACATGATATTTCTCCTTAGTTTAACCCATTCTACCACTATTTTCAAGTTGGCTACTTTTGCATCAGACACCCTGTATATGTAGCCATAAAGTATATTAAACAATTTACAAGTGATTGTTTTAGTTTTTAACTTTTATCGAAATATGTAAATACGATTGGAAACTTAAGTAATTAATACACAGATCGCACATGGCTAGAGTTTAATATAAAATTATATTTCTATCATTAATGTTCCTCAAACTATAGTTATCTGTGTACATGGACTCTAAATGTTAAGTAAAAATACATGGATTTTTATATTGTAGGTGTAGGATAATAGACCGATGAATAATGAGAGCATGCAATTGACAATATTTATTTAGTTTAGCGAATCACTTTCGTAATCAATTGAATTGCTCATGGGCATTAATTAATCAAGTGTATGCTCTAGTTTTTTACAAGTTGACGATTTGATCATTAAAAATATTAAGTGGCAGTCAAAAATATTAGAAATTTAATTAGAAATTATATAAATGTGCGCTTATTTATTGAATAACCTTAAGTAATCTGTTTTGATAGAGAAATACTTATATGTGAAATAAAATTTCTATTTCTGGAGTAAAAAACATGTATGTATTAAAAAATAAATACAAGATAATTCCATGAATAATACATCAAGATATGTTATTTACAATATAGATTTTGTTACCATATGCAATACATTGTGTTCGATTTAACGGAGTTATTATTCATTATTATTATCAAATATAATTCATTCATGTACGATTTTTGCATGCTTAATACAAAATAAATAATGCACAATCAGTTTATGTTCTAGAGCTTCCTTATGCACTTTTTATTCTTTTTACTTTCCAATTTCTGTCGTTAAATTCTTTCTTTCTCTCTCTCTCTCTCTGTCTCTCTCTCTCTCTCTCTCTCTCTCTCTCTCTCTCTCTCTCTCTCTCTCTCTCTGGGTAATCGACAGCAAGAAATGCCCCATTCTGCGCAAACGAATTTTAGACAAAATCGAGCTTATCAATTATGACTAACGGCCGTCCCATAATTACTGATGATCTCAAAATATGTCATATCAACTGTCAGTCTCTCGTGGCACATCTCAATGAATTCAGAAATTTCTTCATGAATGCAGAATACTACATCACCTGTCCATTTGAGACATGGTTGAAACCTGAAGTCGCCGATGACTTCGTTGCACTTCAAGGATATCAACTATTTCAATTTTAAGAGGATCCTTCAGCTGTCTGTATTACCGACAGAATTACATTTTTGTAGTTAATAACTTTTCGTCGTATTAAATTCATGAAATCAAAAATGCTTGCGTACAATTACAGTATATGCATTAATGATCCAAGGAATCTCCGATTTTATACAAAAAATGAGTACAAATTTCACAATTCATATATTGATTAGTTATATCCTTGTAGACGAACTGTCACTTCGTCATAACCATGGAGAATGTATAAGGAGACCGAACTGCCCGTAATCAAAGTGGGCCGACATTTATGACAGCCAGTCGTTATGAAAAGAGATTACTGGGAGCACTGTCATCAACTAACTCCATTCGCATTCGTACGTGACACATGGTTGTCATATGCATGAAGCTTTCGTGGTTATATTAATGATAGAGTACGAGAGGTACGGGGAAAATATAGATTGTGGATATACAATAAAATAAAATACAATAGAATAAAAATAAATTCCTTGAAACTGCGCATTTCACAAGTTTCGAGCAGGCTCGATACGTCCGATCCGTAAATAAGATGAGGAGATGGATTGTATCTCTCTGAACCCACACAGCACATGTAGATACTGAGAAAGTTCTGAGAATACCACAAGAGTACGTTACGTATATTCTCATAACTTTCGAATATGTTCTCTGATGTACTGAGTACTGAGAATGCACTAATGTCCACTTTTTCTCATATACAGGGTGTCGGATTCGATTTGGACCACTCCAAAGATTATAGTAGATTGGGTCAAACTGAGAAGAAAAGTTATACCATTTTACAAAATCCGTAATTATTATCGCGTAATTAAGAAAAACGTCTGAGCCAATAAGTGCACGGAGGAGCGGAAGGCCGGACTCGGCAGACATGCAAAATGGTGTATCTGTTGACAACTCTCAAGATCCGATAGCGAGAGGTGGAGTCACGCATCGATCGATGAGAGACGGCGGCGAGCGGGGAGCGGTAAACGGGCGAACGGCGCGCAGCGAGCGAACGCGCGACATATGACACCGCGCCGAAAAAGTTTTTCTAATGGTAGGAGAATAATACACCATTTTGCATGTCTCCCGAGTCCGGCCATCAGCCATTCGTAATAATTACGAATTTTGTAAAATGGTATATAACTTTTCTTCTCAGTTTGACCCAATCTACCATAATCTTTGGAGTGGTCCAAATCGAATCCGACACCCTGTATACCATTTTACAAAATCCGTAATTATTATCGCGTAATTAAGAAGAACGTCTGAGCCAATAAGTGCACGGAGGAGCGGAAGGCCGGACTCGGCAGACATGTACTGCGGGTATACAGGGTGTCTGATGCAAAAGTAGCCACCTTGAAAATAGTGGTAGATTGGTTAAACTAAGGAGAAATATCATGTACCGCGGTATAAAGTAACAATTATAGTTATCGAGTAATAAATTTACACGTTTGAGCGAATGAGGATGCAGGAGACGGTAGGCCGGACTCGGAAGGCATTTAAGAAAATAGATCGATGAGCGGGAGGTGGAGCGACGCGCGAGATACTATGTTTATGTTTCGGGTCGCCCGTCGCTCGCGCTCGCTGCCGCGCTCTCCGCCCGCGCCGCGCTCCCCGCCACGCCTAGGTTTTTTCCCACCACGGTGTATCTCGCGCGTCGCTCCACCTCCCGTCTGGGGTGTCGAATCGACATCGACACCGTCGAATTGACGTCGATTCGACATCATTTCGACGTCGATCGACGAATCATTTCTCACTGGGTAATGCCTGGTCAGGTACTCATCAGGCAGCCCTGACAGGGCTCTGACCGTAAATGTAACGTCGAAAATAAAAATTGCCTGATCAGGTTTTCTTTATCAAGACCTCATGACCTGCCCTTTGATAATTAATTACTCGTCTGTATACAGGGTGTCTGATGCAAAAGTAGCCACCTTGAAAATAGTGGTAGATTGGGTTAAACTAAGGAGAAATATCATGTACCGCGGTACAAAATAACAATAGTTATCGAGTAATAAATTTACACGTTTGAGCGAATGAGGATGCAGGAGACGGTAGGCCGGACTCGAAAGGCATTTAAGAAAATCGATCGATGAGCGGGAGGTGGAGCGACGCGCGAGATACACCGTGGTGGGAAAAAACCTAGGCGCGGCGGGGAGCGCGGCGCGGGCGGCGAGCGCGGCAGCGAGCGCGAGCGACGGGCGACCCGAAACCAGTGAACTCTACATATACATACTGGAATGAGTGATCTATTGTTCTGGCTGTTGCCGAGAGAGAGGTGCGTTTGGGTGAATCCTTGTCTCCTTCTAGTACTACCTGATTGGATAGTCGCATATAAATGACGAGAAGAAGGGCGTCACTTATATGCGATTATCCAATCAGGTAGTACTAGAAGGAGACAAGGATTCACCCAACGCACCTCTCTCTCGGCAACAGCCAGAACTATAGATCACTCATTCCAGTATGTATACAGGGTGTCAGATTCGATATGGACGACCCC